CTTCCTTCCTTCCTTCCTTCCTTCCTTCCTTCCTTCCTTCCTTCCTTCCTTCCTTCCTTCCTTCCTTCCTTCCTTCCTTCCTTCCTTCCATGGAGATATAGCCTGGAAATGAAACATTTGGAAACCAACCCACAAGCTCAGTGAACAAGCCTCCACCCTCACAAAGAAGACTGTTTGGGTTAAGATAAAATCCAATGTTGATTTAATTGCCATGTAAATTAAAGGGACATTAATCGGAATGAATAAAAGTTATGGTGATCCTCTTTATAGATTCAAAGGTTTTGTTTCAATGTGACATCAAACCTTTCACTTGAGAGGCATCTTAGAGAGGTCTTAAGGATATGCATTTCTGCCTTTCAGAGGCCTCCAGCCAGTTCTCTGACTTGCCTCTCCTTTTCTGAACCCAGGGCTGGGGCTTATGTGGTGCAATCTGGTGGTGAGTTGCAAGATGGAGGGGCTTGCTCCCAAATAAATAATATACAAATCAGCCTTGAGTCCTTGTTATGTAGAAAGAGGCTCAGAAGGGATCCTCCCTAAAAACTTAACTGGGTTTATTTGGTAGTTATGCGGAGTGTGCTTTACACTGGCAAGATTCCTGTCTATGGACAAATAGCAATAAAGAAACTGTACCTGAGCAATTCATCATGTTGTTTTTGGGTTCCCTGCACTTGACAGTCTTGGGTGCTTACCACTTTTTCTCCATGCCTTGCAGAAAGGCAAGGACACCACTCCATCCCCAACCTTTCGCCTGTCAGATATGTCAGACTACAAATGCCATCACACCACGCAAAAGTGCACAGCCCCTTCTAGATGAAGATAAGGGGTTCTACAGCATAGCCTCCTTGGTAGGGCAAAAGGCATCACCTGCTCTCAGCTTTGAAGCTGCCAGTTTCTTAGACCTCATGTTCAACTTAGCCCGAGAGTTGGGTCCATGTGGACATTTCCCAGGCAGTCAACAAATCAATCAATTCAAGGAAAAAGATAGCTGGAATATTGGCTTACTTGTGGACGTGTATACTAGTGAACTGGGGGCACTGTACATGGGAGATCCTTCTTGATTTGCCTGGCACAGGAGCACCCTGCCTATGAAAGAAAAGGAGACAGAGAAAGACAGAGAGTGTTCTGAGGCTGGGAGATATGAAAAAAAAAAAATCACAGAGTTATGTAAAACCAAAATTGTTTCTTGACATATTCAGTAAGTTACATTTGCTCTTCTGTGCATGCAAATATACCTCCCAATAACCTGCAGCAGAAGTTCCTATCCTAACCTCCTCCCTACCCCACAATCATTTGTACCTAGAGCGAACAAAAGGTAAGAGAGCTGAGATCTGTAGCACTTAAATACCTGAAATTTCTCAGGTTAAGGAAGACTGGTCTATTTATTTATTTATTTATTTATTTATTTATTTAATTTATATCCCGCCCTTCTCCTTACGGACTCAGGGCGGCTAACAACCAGATAAAACACTAATCCCCAAAAACTACAAATTTAAAAACATAAGTAAAAACAAATATTAATAATTTGGTCAAATTAATTTAAGAATTGCTATTGATAGCCTGTCTCACCCCGTATAAATACCTTCATCTTACATTAAGGAAGATCAACCCATCCCAACTTGCCACACGGATACAAATACATAAAAGAGTTTGGAGCTGTGCAGCCTTGCTCAGTAATTGCATTCCTATCTTCTTGACATTGGTGGGAGGGAAGCCATCTTTAGGAGTCATGGAACACATCAGAAATGATAGTATACACCTGTGCTATATGTAACCTGACCGTATCTCACTTTTACTTGATTTATTCGATATATACCAGGGCTGTCCAACCTCAGCAAATTTCAGATTTGTGGACTTCAACATGTTGGAATTCTGGGAGTTAAAGTCCACAAGTCTAAAAGCTGCCAAGGTTGGATATACATACAGGAAACATGAAACCCAGTTTCACACATTGCAGTAAGCCATGGTTCATTGAACCACATTAGTCTGTTTCACTCATGAGGTAGCCATAAACCCTTCCTGGGTTCATGTAGATTACACGGTGCCATAAATGGCCTTCTGAAAGGGACTAAATACAGCTCTGACAACTGGCCTGGGGCCCAGACTTTTTTTGGGGGGCAATGTCCCATTTTAGAGGTGGTGATGAAGATTCTGTCATTCATTAGTCTGGCAGCGTATAAGGTGATAAGGTAGAACTAATAACTCCATGTGAACTTTAGGTATCCTGTTCATCAGGGTTGCTTTCTCCCATTTAAAAGGTCCAATGCACTTTGCGTACTTCCGTTCTTCCAATATTCTTGGAAAATGGATGGCTATTCTTCCTTCCTACTCTAAGTGGGGGGGGGAGGGGAGAGAGCCCCGAGAGAATAATAGAAGTTTGATTTCAGTTTCACTACACCTGAAACGCAGCTAAAGGTCCTTATTGCTATGTTGCTATCACTTTAGTTATGATGAATTATGCTCTGCTGAATGAACTGGATGGTCGAAAAATACTTAAAGTTTGCCTCTTTCTCACTGTTTTTAGCAGTAGTAGTTTACCCAATTTTCATCTTCTATTTTTACTTGATTTATTAAGATAATGAAAGGGGGGATGGGGAGAGAGAAAGAAAGACAGACAGACAGACAGAGATAAAAAGATAAAAAGAGGTAGAGAAAGTCAGAGAAAGGCAGAGAGAGAGAGAGAGAGAGAGAGAGAGAGAGAGAGAGAGAGAGAGAGAGAGAGAGAGAGAGAGAGAGAGAGAGAGAGAGAGAGAGAGAGANATTTTTACTATTTAAGGATTGGCAGGGTTCCAGTTGATACTGCTAACGTCAGGGTAAGGCTGAGAGATGAGCTTAGTCTACATTAGAAAATATTCCGCTGAAATATTTCTCTGAAGTTGAAGAAAAGGCTAGACAATCTCAGCTCTCAGTTTTAACTGCAAGGGCTATTATAATACAACATTATTTCTCTCCAAATGGGACGATTTTTCACATTCTTCTCAGTTTTTTTTAAAACAATCTAAATGTTTTTGAGCAAACGGGTTGCAAAATAGATTAAGTTGCTTTCTAAATACAGAGAAATTAACCCAATAGTTTAATATTAGTTACGTTAATTATACATAGATGTTTGCTTCCAAACATTAAAAAAATAAAGCTCTTGCCATTGTTTTTAAAAATGTAATGTTAAAGTATTATCATACAAATGGTGACAATCCAAGCTAGATTAACGGCTCTTATGGCAGTTAATGTGTTTCTAAAACTTCTGAGGAGCTGTTACAACCCATTATGGCTGAAATATTGGTGTATGAAAAATTAATAAAGCCAGCAGAAAATGGAATTTGGCATCTGTGCTAGCTATTTACATAGAAAGAATTACCCAGAATTAATTATGCCCTCTGTTACATTCTAATGAGTTTTTCATTAAAATGTACACTATTATGGAAACTAAACAAGGATTATTCAAACAAAAATGCCAACAGATGTTTTTTTTTTCAAAGAAAAAGAGGGAGAGAGATTAAAATTAGTTAATTGGTTGTACATTTATATCTAGCGTGGGGTTAATCGAACCCTATTTATCATACAGTTTATGTATATTTTGCAAAGAAAACATTATATGTGGAACCATGTATTAGCGCTTGGCCAACATTGTCTCTGGCATTTTTCCCCCCTCGGGCTGCTTCTTCAATTTAATGGAAAAGAAATTGTTATATATTTTTCTTCTTCTTTTTTAAAGGCAATATTGGATCCCCTTTAAATTTGGATTGGGTTGACTTATTCTCCAAAATACCAAAAGGTGGGATAAAAAGCAATGGGTGAAAGCTCATTAAAGACAAAAGCAGTTTAGGATTAAGGAGAAATTTCCTGACAATGAGAACTATTAATCAATGGAACAGTTTGCCTCCTAGAACTGTGGGTTACTGGAGGATTTCAAAAGTTTGGACAGCCATTTGTCTGGGATGATATAAAGTCTTCTGCCTTAAGCAGAAGGTTGGACTAGATTCTAGAAGACCTCTAAAGTTAGGACAAGAAGCAATGGAAGGAAACTAATCAAGGAGAGAAGCAGCCTAGAATTAAGGAGAAATTTCCTGACAGTGAGAACAATTAAGCAGTGGAGTAGCTTGCCTTCAGAAGTTGTGGGTGCTCCATCTCTGAAAACCTTTAAGAAGAGACTGGACAGCCACTTATCTGGAATGGTATAAGATCTCCTGCTTGAGCAGGGGGTTGGACTAGAGACCTGCAAGGTCCCTGCCAACTCTTTTATTATCCTGTTATCGATATAGCTATAGCTATAGCTGTATCATCTATAGATGATATCATCTATCTATCCATCATCTATCTAGCTATCTGTCTGTCTGTCTGTCTAGCTATCTAGCTACCTAGCTACCTAGCTACCTAGCTACCTAGCTACCTAGCTACCTAGCTATCTAGCTACCTAGCTACCTAGCTACCTAGCTAGCTTCCAGCTACCTATCTCTATCCATCCATCCAACTAGTTATCTATTTGTATCAAATCATAAAGTGCTCTTATTGCATCTGTTCTATTTTGGAAATAAACCCTGTTTATTCAGAGCTTCACAATCCTGTAGGATATCAGGGAGGAGCAAACACCAAAGGCAAATGACGTGCCCTAAATATTGTTCTTCTTTGGTTTGTCCCAAGCATAACTTAGCAGCTTTTCATTTTGATACTCCAGCTATAGGCCAACTAAACAGTTCAAAACACAAAGCTGATCACTTCTTAAAGATCAAGAGTTGCTTTTCCTGCTCTATTTCAACTCCCAAGATCCTTCAGCTAAACCTGTCCCGATGGAACTCTTGAGTAATTTGTGTTAAAGTATTAATCTGCTAAGGGAATAGAGAACACCACACTATTGAGGGGATATGGGAAACTGTGCCACGGTAATGCATGTACAACAGCGCACTACATGTATTAATCATATTACCAACAACTGTGCAATTACTGTTCAGAGTCAAGAGCATCTCTCAGGGGGGAAGGGAAAATGATAAAGGGGGTCATGCTGCCAAGAATCTCGGTAGCTTGGAAGGGCAAATATTGCAACTGAACAAAAATAATAATAATATGAATTGCCAAGCATAGCCTTATTGCCTTTATGAATGCTGGAAACAGCATCACAATATTGCTGCAGATCTGTGACCTCTTCCATCCAAGAAGAGAGTTACTAAACATCTATGGCCTGTAAAATCTTACTCTGCTTTATGGTGATCACAGTGTCTTGATTAAAAGTACAGCAACCTGGATAGAAAAATGTATTTCTTCCCAGCCAGGATGTCTATGAAGATTCTCAGTCATCCAGGTCACAGTTGTATCAAAAGTGTTTTTTTTTAATATTATTTTTGAAAAGGCAACTGGACTGATTTTTTGAGGAAGAAGAAAAAGATGCTTTGCTTCCTGTTCTGGAAGCTTCGTCAGTTGTACTGGAGGGTGTTAGAGATGGAAGGACAGTTATTGACACTTGAGCTTAGCTGGTGGGGGGCAGAATGATAGGTTCTGACAGGATGGTGTGTGTGTGTGTGTGTGGGGAAATGGAAAGATTGTGTTTTCTATATAGTCAATTGGTCTTAACACTCTCTGAGAGCCATTGGGGTTACTTATCCCCAATTTGCATGCAGTCCTTTTGGCTGTTCCAAGAAGATTCCACACCTCCGATTCCGGTGACCCTGAAGTCACAGGTAAAAACCCAAGTAACCACAATGGCTCTTAGAGAGTAATAAGACCAGCTAACTGCAAAGAAAGCACAATCTTCCCATTTCCACCCTAAATATCCTATCGGAAGGTCTATAGATATTCTCAGTCATCCAGATCATGGTTGTCTCAAAGGTGCTTTTTCTAGAGGCAACTGGACTTTCTTGTTTTTCTTTGAAGATGTTTTGCTTCTCATTCAAGAAGCTTCTTCAGCTCTGACTGGATGGTGGGGAGTGGAAGGATTTATATTCCTTGCAGACAGCTGGTCATTTGCCTTCTTTTGAATGCAAGGAATATAAATCCTTCCATTCCCATGCTATTCTATTCCATTCCATTCCATTCCATTCCAGTCCAGTCCAGTCCAGTCCAGTCCAGTCCAGTCTAGTCTAGTCTAGTCTAGTCTT